ATGATCTCAATCAAAACATAAGAATAATAATATTAAAACAACAATCTATTGTGAATAATTAGTTTTTGTGATGTTATCAGACAAACAATCAATGCCAATGCATTTAGTCAATTTTCCATATAATGAACTACTTATGAACAAATTAAATATGATGTGACGGTTAAGGTTTTTTTCATACAATTATTGGGTAATAATATTTTTGTAAATACATCTAGATAATTAACTAAAGTAAACTAAACAGTCACTTGTATAACACCATGTTTTGAAGGTAGATTTTTTTCAAAAACCAATGTCCACGAAAGAAGAAATGTGAATTAATAAATAGTGTAAAGTTAATACTTTTACAAAGACAGTTAGTTTCGTGGATTGGTTGAAGTTAGACATTGACACAGCTGGATACCAGATCAGTGGTCTAATTGTTAAGCGCTCGCGAGCGAGACTAATAAGTCCTGTATTCAAATCTGGCGAGGCGGAATCGTGGATGGGCACTGATGAGGAGTCTCACAATAGGACGAAACGGCCATTTAGTGCTTCCAGCTTTTCCATGATGGTCTAGCTTCAATTGACTCATGATTTCAAACAATAGATAAAAGCCGATTAATTTAAGATTGATAATTATAGTGAATAAGGTATTTCATAAAGATAAAAAAACTCTTGGAAATTTAAAGCAATTAAGTCCGATTGATAAATTTCGATAGTGTAATAAGATGACGGAAATTATCAGAATTATGTGTTAGATTGGCACAATACATTTCGAACAATCTGACCACACGTAAAATACTTGTTAAGAACATTTATATATAAAAATAAAAGGACAACTAGACCAGAAATGGGTGAGGGGTAAAAGGAGATAAGGATAATAAAGAACATAATGTGAAAAGAATGTGAAACTTCATCGCCATGGATAATAAGTTAATATTACGAGGGTAGGTCCGGATAATATTTGTCTTCTTATTACACTATCGAAACTCTCGAAAATATTTGGAAAAATTATTTCATGCTATAACATAAATAAAAATTACTATGGATTACAGTGAGTTTCCTTAAATCCGAAAATTAATGCAACATTTTACCGCTTTATTCTAAAGGTCACTGAGCCGAATGAAATCAATAAAGCAACTATTATCAGACGTTGTTAAAACAAATATATTGGAGTCAACAACTTAATGACTTCTAGTTTCAGGCTAATTATGTTTTAGATAACTGAAATCGATTCACAGGGAGGCTTTATTGTTATATATCATCTAATCAAATCTGTATTTAAAAGAGCAATAATGTTACCTGAAAGTGAATAACATTGTCTGGGAAAGTAATACTGACACTTGTTAACAAGACGTACCACAATATAACGCGTTAATCAAACAAATGACAGAATAATAAATATGGTAGACATAATTTGATCTATAATTACAATATGGTAACTTCATGTTGTTTACTTATTAGTAACCGAATAATTCAAGCAACTATTTTTGGATTTCACAAGTTGAAATCATGAGCCAATTGAAGTTAGACCACCATGGAAAACCTGGAAGCACTGGACGGTCGTTTCGTCCTAGTATGGGACTCCTCAGCAGTGGATTTTTAAAAATGTGCTGTCAAACTATGCGTTCAAATATTGACAAATATTCGTATATATAATGTATATTTGTAATTATTACGTTGTCTAATCAATATCTGACATAATAATTATCTAAACTGACAAAAAATCTGAAAGTTTTCGTAATTGAAATATTGAAGGAAATAAAATAAATTCTGATAACTACTTATAACATCTTTTTGATAAATGCTCACTATGCAATCTACAACTCGGTTAGCAAGAGTTAACTAAATAACATTATTTCGATAGTATAATAAGAAAACGAAGATTATCAGAACTATATGATATAATAGTGCAATACATTTTGAAAAATCTGATGTTAAGAACATTTATATATAAAAATAAAAGGTCAATATAGGGAGAAGTAATCGTGATCACGAAATTAGGGTATGTAAACATGTACCTAAATGGTTTCAGAAACAAATTAAATAAAATGACCCAATAAAAGTACAGGATAAACAGCTATCATCTATTGCTAAACATATAATCGAAACAGGCCATAAAATTGATCTTAACTCGACTTTTGTGATGTTGTACAAAAGTATAAAAGGGGGTATACTAAAGTTTATTAAAGCCTTATCCATTCGGAAATTCAAACCCACTTTGTGTATTCAAAAATAGTTTATTCTTACCTTAAAACTCCCCTGACCGTTTCGTTCTAGTATGGAACTACTCGGCATTACGCATCCACGATCCCGCCCGCCAGATTCAAACCTCACAATCTTGCGCACGAACGCTTAACATCTAGACCTTGTCTCCCCTTAATTCCCACCCATTTCTAGTCTAGTTGTCCTTTTATTTTTATATATAAATGTTCTTAACAAGTAGTTTACCTGTGATCAGATTGTCAGAAATATATTGCGCTAATCTAACACATAATTCCGATAATCTTCGTCATCTTATTACGCTATCGAAATTTATCAATAAGAATTAATTACTTTAGATAACAATATCATCATTTTCATTTTCAACAAGTACTGATAAATATAATACCGCATGAATATGTCAATCCTACAAAAACATTTTATTTATGTTAACATTATGAAAAAATGTTTTCTTTGTTCATTTCATGTTCATTTTCATTAGAAATATTTTTGTCAATATCTACATTCTTATTACTTCAAATACAATTAAAAATGTTTAACCGATTTTTTTGGTTGAAAAATAACTTTTCATAGCAACAACAAAAAAAGCATATCAATAAAACGAATTTTAAAAGAATTCACATGAAATAAATTATTTGTAAAACATTTTTTGTCGGAAGAGGTTTTGTGGAGATTTCGAATCTGGCGATGCGGGATCGTGGATGCATACTGCTGAGGAGTCTCACAATATGACGAAACGGCCGTCCAGTGTTTCCAGTGTTTCCAGGTTTTCCATGATGGTCTAGATTCAATTGATTCATGATCTAAACTATTGAAATCATTTTTATTTTATTTTATTTCCGGTTAATGAAGAAAATTTCCATAAATCCCTAAATAAACATATTATATTGATTAGGATCTCTATACATAAAATGCATTAAATTGATAGATTCAACCAACACTGAGATCTTATCAAGACGACACTGGTTACAACATATTAACCGATTGATATCTATCATATGAATACAATAGAGTCTCTGGTAAAACAAATAAAGTCTCACTTCAGACATCCTGTCACCTCAAGCAATCACCTAAAAATGTTTTTCACCGTTGTTTATTCACTTGAAATATAGTTTTAAGAAAATTGGCGAGACTATAATTTATGGATGAACTAATCAGGTATAAGATAACACGTCTCGGATTTTGGGGTGAAATTCACTCATCTATTTGGCTAAATAGAGTTTTAGAATTATAACTGATGTCAGTTCATGATGAAATTCCTAAATGTAATTCCTAACCTTAACCATCAACGGTATATCATAATTCCAATTCCTCACATTGGTTTATAACCTTCATTTAGTCCAAGTTATTAGGTGGACACTCTCAAAGTCACTTTGGCTTTACTCAAAGATCATTCAAAAATTATAGTCTCACAAGAAAATCTTTTGTTTATTTAGACAATACGAAATACTAATATGTCCTTGATACAACTAAAATGCAAAAGAATAACAAAATAATGAGTATATCCATACTTTAAATTCTTTTAAGAAAATTTATTACAGATTTTGTCACAGAATCTATATATATTCCGATTTCTTTCTAATTAATTCAGAATCATTGAATACAAGGAATTAAATGGTGAATGTTTCAACTAACCTACACTTATCACTACAAAGTCCGTCTTCGTTTATTTTTAGAGAAATAGTTTTTTTCCACTCTCTTCCTATAAACAGTTATGCTTTAGGAAAAGAACATTCATGATAAAATATTTTACTGAGCTAAAACAAAAAAAAGTACTTTTAATTATCAATTTCACCAAGCAACAAACCTTTCGATTAAAATCTTCATTTACAATTTCTGTAGAAATGAAAATAAACTACCTTTAAGATATTAAAAAGGAAGAACATATTTGTAAAATCTTAGCGAATGAACTCGAAGTAAATCTAACGTTGTGCCTCGTAATTCTTTCTTCCTCATTCATGTTTCATATCAACTTAGCGCCCAAATATTGTGAAACTATTCCATCAAATTTAAACACATTTTCTTATTAATTAAATTTCCTGTTTTCATTAGGATCATGAACCGATTGATGTTAGACCAACGTTGGAAACCTGGAAGCACTGAACGACTGTTTCGTTCTACTGTGGGACTCCACAGCAATGCACACCGACGATCTCGCTCGCGGGATTCGAACCCAGGACCTTCAGTCTCGCGCGCGAACGTTTAACCAACTGCATCACTGAGCCGACATCCAGTGGTGTTAGTATCTAACATCAATCAATCAATGAAACCGCGCTACTATCTTTCTCCACCCGACACGGATTAGCTCCACTGGTCACGGCTTCTCACTAGAACTCCGAGAATTCCCTCACAAATCTAGTCACTGGTGAGCACATGTTAATTATCAGTATAGGTTAATGTCAGACACTAACACCATTGGATGCTGGCTCAGTGGTCCAGTAGTTTAGGCGTTCACGCGCGAGACTGAAAGTCCTGGATTCGAATCCCACGACCGGGGTCGTGGATGCGCACTGCTGAGTGAGTAATTCATATGAAATTGAAGTTATCCATTGGAAATCTTAAAAAATCACTCATTCAATTATCTTCTTGAAAATGTTTATTTAAATCAATAAGAGCAGCATTTATGTTTGTGTGATACCACTATTAATCATTTTCATCGTTATATCATCTCAATGAATCTAAATGAACGCCGGGAAAAAAGTGTCCAGTTGTGAGTGATAAAAATCAGATTTAAATATTAGTCATAAAACAGTATAGGAAGTATATAATGTTTAATAATAAACAAAGGTTCAACTTACATTTTATAAATTCACCATTATATTCAGTTTCTTCAGTAAGATTTATTTGCATATTTACATTAAGAGTTAAGGTGTTTATAGAAAATAATGGAAACCATTGTTGTTGAGTAACTGAAGTTTCTTGACAGTTGACATTTATTATTGGTCCATTTAGTTTATGTGTCAGTTCACATATTAAATCACTTTGTAAATATAAAGGTCGATTATTTATCTACAAGAAATAATTAATAAGATATGGATTACCTTTTTTGTTGTAAAAATTATTGTAAACCTCCTTAATAGAACATAATTATTAGAAATAGACGCCTTGGTAACTTTTCAAAGAAAACAAACATTGAAAAACTGTGAAATCACTTGATAGGAATTATCTGTCATCAAAGTTTGAACTAAACTTCCTACCTAAGAGATTTGAAAATGAAGATTCGAATTTTAATTGTTTACTCATATTTGTTAGTGTTTCAGCACTCCTTCAGGAGACCAGGAATAACGTTCCGCGTACTCTAATCGTTTGCCCTAGCGATGCGAGGTGATAAAGGGACGTGAGAAGGATTAGTCGTGAAGATAAGAGATTTATTTGAAGGTGTTCGAGGGATTTGAATGTGTCTAACTTTGCCTCGTGTGCTGTTACGGGTATGAGGTCTGATATCACTTCACGGCTGCCCGCACCGTGGAAAGGTATTTCTTGAGGAGCCAGAAAAAGGAGTCGGATTAGTGTTGGTCTTAACGACCTGGGAGCGTGACCTCAGAGTCCAATGGACAATTACTTGAGGCCAGTCGCGCACGGCTTTTTTGTGGGAGGTTTATAATGTGTTAGCTTCGTTCTTCAAAGGGCCTTACCTCTGGAGACGGAAATCCGTGAGGTAACGTGAGGTGTGACATTCTCAGGGTGCATCCACTCTTTGTGTTCTTTAAAATTCTAATCTTCTGAATTCTTCATATCCCTTTATTTTTCTCTTCCCAAATTTATTTCAATGGATTGTACTCTTTGAATAACATCTTCAACCCCTATGTTTCCGATTACTGCTAATACTCATACTACCTCTACCGCTACAGGATTTGAGTCGACAATTGTAACTGTGTGCTAATGCGGTATAGCAACTCGAACTGATGAACAAAGTTCTACGTTGTTATTGACTGACTGACTGACTGACAACACCCCATTCAACACATCATTCTTGAAAATGGATGCAACAATAATGACATAGAAAGTTATTTTCTCTGAAATATCTCATTTGGTGATTACTTTTAATAAAAATCAACCATTAAAATTTCATAGCGGCTGTTATTCTTCACATGTTATCAACAACAAATTAGTCAAACATTATTGATATATCTAATAAATAAACAAATTTGTCTTAAATGAAAGCAAAACAAAAACTATTTTCATAGCTTATTTGAAAGGTAGAATTTAGTGTATTTTCGTTTATATCATGTGTACAGTCATCGATAAATGCAGCATTGTAGATCAGTATTGTGGAAATCCTCAATGAACAATAAAGACAAATTGTAATTTTTCATTGAATACCGCATTATTTATTTTACAGACTGTTCTTGTGGAATGTTTTTCTTCAACATGAATTATATTTTTATATCTGCTTAAATCGATATTTACTCCATATACCAATCTCATTTTGCATTATGAAGTATACGATAGAAATCTCACAATAATAAACACATTTTAACTAGTAATTTATTTTGTTTTAGTTATAAACTTGATAAGCTATAAACAATTTATAAGGATTACAATAAAGAATAAACAAATAATGCATAAATATCTTAATCAATACAAACATTTCCCATTTTTATTCTTATTTTTTGATGGAACGTTTTACTTGTTCCCTTTAAAAGCTAAAAATAGATAATCATTCATTGTAAGATTTCGTTTATCATGAATTTATTACATTTTTCAGAAATTATAACATTTTGATGAAGTTTCGTTCTCTGAGCTCGGTGGTTTAGTCATAGAGCTTTCATCGTTTTTTTAGCGACCTCATCAGAACGAACTTTAGGTAGAAGTCTTTATCTCCTATTGAGAGATACAACCAAAACAAAGAAGTAGACAATGACAGGTTTAAAATCAACAAGAACCAATCAACATTGAGGTCTACAAGATAAGCTGTGAACCACATGTGGAGAAATTCGAACAATTCACTTCTACCTGATGTCTGTGCTGATGATGTTGTTCAGAAGAACGATGAAAGCTCCACGACTAAACTATCCAGCTCGGAGAACAAAACTTCATCAAAATCATCTACCTGAGCAACAAATCTTCTCTACTATTCCATTTTTCATCACTAACTAGAAGATATCCATGTTTAATTTTTCGATATAACTATGTGGGTTTCAAATTTATGTTATTTTTTGTAGCTACTTCCTTATTCGTCAAATCTATTCGGTGTTAAAATGTGATGTTAAATAAATAAACACTAGTGTTATAATTAATCATTTTTAGTAAATATTCCTATTATTTGTTTTACAAATTATAAACTTACTATGAAATGTTGATCATTTAGTTTTGAATTATCTGTTATAAAGAATGGTTGATATCCATCATTACAAAACATTGAATTTCGTTTCTTGATCATAGTCACTGAATGTGAATTAATAGTTTTAGGAATATATTCTGTTTGACATGAGCCCAAGTGATCTATCTAATAAAAACAATTGATTATATAAAAGTATATATTTTTATGAGGACTGTAATTTTAAAAAAATGATTCAAATATGTTTTGAATATTATTTTTCTAGTAAATGATTTCAAGCAACCATAAGTTGAATAGAGGATCTTTAGTTTTGACTATTTTTCTGAAGAAAACATACAAACCACTAGGATACTGGTTTATTACTATAAATGTCATTTTTTAGTCATTTATTATACAAACTACATGGAAGTTGGAAGGAAAGGAATCTAGCTCATGATGCGACATGCTAATCTATATATATATGTAAACATCAAGATTGAATTCTACTAATCAACTTTGAAGTAGATCAGAACCGAAGCTTACACAGAGAGATAACACTGACTACTAACTACTCAGTGATTGTTCAATACCGAAATTCCTTGCATTAATTGTTATATGCTTGTGGTCAGTTAATTATCATGTGATACGGCCGCCAATTGGAACATCGATTTATTGACCAGACCAGTGACGCATAAACCTGTGCAAGTGCCCTAGAGTAAACTCTCAATTCTTATTGGTCCATCGAGAGAGCAGCTTCTCACCTAACCCAGCTGGCTTAGTCCAGATTACCAGTATCAGCCTCCACGATATGAATCCGGTATTTCAGATAATAATTGTTTTATACCATAAAGTAGAAAATAACAATTATACAAGATCAAACCAAAAATGGCTGGGAGTACAGGAGACCGTGAATAATAGATTGGGAATAAATTAAGAATGGTAAAACGTAAAACACCAGTCAATAGGTCAAATGGAAGTTTATAATAAAATGAATTTGAATGTACATATAATATAATTGTTTAATGGTTATACAGTAAGAATATATATAATAACAGTCCATAAATAGAACCTAGCAGTTACTATTCACTTATTCTTCGTCCAGATATAACATAATTGGAGAAAGATTACTTTTTTTCGAAAACCTTTAGCGAATGGTGAGAATATATATTTTTATTATTTGTTGAAATAAAGTGAAGAAATAATTTACCGACAAACTCTCCTAAGACTCCTGGAATTCCAAGTAATATTCCAAACGCAATGATGATTGGATTGAAATTTATTAAAAGTCTAATAGAAACTACAAATATTTAGTTACTAAGACATTTGAAATTGATAAAAATGGAGAAGCGAAAGAATGGAGAGTAGGATTTCTTACATTTTAAAAGCATCCCGAAGGTTCTTGATATTTAAGACCAAAAAAATATTGTAAGCAAAGATGAATTAAGGCAATATCCAGGTAATACGTACAGTATGCACATATACTGATCAATTGAAGTCCTAAACATCAATGAAAAGTTCCAAACAAACAGTACCCAGTGAATTCAAACAACTACGAGCCTGATTATTCACCTATATTGCTACTAATGATTTATATACTGCAGTTTTAATCAGAAAATTATCATGGAAATTTGAATTTAACGATATACAGACCGTAAAAGTACGAATTTGTGTTAGATAATTTTCTTTAAAAACACATGGTTATTTTAAAACAAGGCAATAATTCCAATAATACCAAACATAAGCACTTGTTCTCATGATTAATGTTTTTAAATGGTCTTTTATACTTTAACTTTCTACCTTTACTTTTCTTGGAAACAATGGCATATGCATTCTTCAACTGACTGACCTTTAACCGGTTGAACTGGACTACATATTCGTGTATAGTTTGTGTAAATAAACACTACGGTTTGAAGTATATGATTTTTAGTGGCCCGAAATCTGACTCCCATAATATCGTATGATTGATCGCTGTCGAAATGTATATATCGTCAATCTTCATATAAAATTATCGACTTAATCCGCTTTAGTGAATAACGGAATTAAATAAGCCAAATACGAGAATGGATTTTGAATATGTGTATTTCGTACAATTGTTGATCGAGACAAACGGCCGAAGAAATGAAGCCAAATGACGCTCAGTGGAGAAGACATGTGAGCCGGTTCCATTTAATCATGCGCTAATCGATATTTGTAGTCACACAAAAAGAAGCTACAGATGTGTGGTGAGTAGGATAAAATGTACACTCATATAAAAACAAACAGGTTTGATAGGTGAACAATTAACGACGTCAAAATATGACACAAGAAGAATGGATAAATTGGCCTGTCCAGAAGCTAGAATACGCTGTGTGAACAGAACATATCAACGGACACTACAGATTTGTATCACTGAAGCATTTCTATTTGTGTTAATGACGAAGTACATTTCGGTTTCAGTTAAATGTCATCGTTTTTGAAATTTTTTGAACTGAACAAACATTGTCTACACACGTTCAAAGTTCTGTACATCTGTCCACGGTCGTATGAAAAAGTAATTTGTACTTGTAATTCCAATTTTTATTAGAATGACAATGAATGAGAATAAAAATTGGAATAACTAATATTCAGGAAACATAACTATGCGGAAAGCAAATAGAAACTCAATAATTAATCTAAAAGTTTACATAAAGGTCAGTATAGTTAGGGTCTCAATAACTTATTCCAGTTAGACAAGTACTGAAAACCAAAATGAACTGGACATTCGTTTCTTCCCAGCATAACATTGCTCCTTAGTACACATTCACAATTCTTTTGCTACGGATCGAATCCAAACCCTGAACATTTAGAACACTGAATCGGTATTCATCAGCTTACGTATCCAACATCAGTCGATTCATGATATGATGCAATCAACTTCTCTGATAGAATTGTCTTTTGTATATTGCTCAAAAATATCATACTAAAAAAAAGTTGTCTAATATTTCATGATTTCCATTGATATTCCTAAGAATGTAAATGGTATAAATCAATAATCACTCCTAAAGAACAAAACACACCTACCATTAAACATAAAATGATGTAACATACATAGCTATTGAACTTTCGTACTACATAAATATAAATGTAAATTATATTTTATACTTATTGATTAATTCAATTTAGAGAATGATAAATGTAAATAGAGGTAGTTTCGTGAGACGTTTTTAATAAAAGGGATATATATTGGCATCAGAAATCAAATGTTTATCTATTTTTTGTATTTAGGATTAAAAAGGCATATATCGAACATAATTTCTTTTTTAATGCTAGAAAATTCTGTTCAAATTTATCTTCGTTGGTTACAATCATTATTGAAATATTCATCGAACCGGATAAACTTTTAAGATTATATAAATGAATACACGAAATCTAATAGTAACTCTATAAAGTATATTGTTAATTAAGACAGTCATTTAAGTATATTCGTACATATGTTTAAAATGTTTTCACAATATATTGAGAATATCAGAAAGGGTGTTTGTGGAAACTATTAGTAATTTCAATGTTTGAGATCAAGAGTCAATTGAATATAGACCATCATAGAAAACATGTAGGTATTGGGCTGAACGGTCGTTTCGTCCTATTTTGGGACTCCTCAGCATTGCGCATCTACGATCCCGCCTCACGGGATGCGAACCAGGGACCTGTCAGTTTCGTGTGTGAACGTTTAACCACTAGACCAATCAAAAAGACAGTTATCTAATTTTGTCTAGTTTTTAACTGAATCTTCACTTGGCATTAGTTGCTAGTGAAAGGTTTTCCCAACAGTTAATCTCCTGTTTACGATACACCAGATACTATAGGAAAATCACACTACTTCCTTTTTTTATTAAAATGTTCACTTATGCTTTGTCGAAGATTCAATCAAACTTAACCATTCAATTTTAACTGTGAAACTGAAAAATCAGCCATCGTCTAAGTGTCCAAGATACTTACACTCACATCATATCTGGTGATATCCTTGGTCAGTAACTGTTTTTTTAGGAAAGGATGTTTCAAATGAATGGAAAGTCCACTGCCTAAATAGCTATATGATATGATACAATATAATTTCTTGTTTTTTATTTGTATTTTTCATCTAAAAATTTGTTTGTATCATTTGTGGGAGACCAATATTACAATAAAATCAGTCATATTTTTGGAGGTCAAGTACAATGTAGAAACTTTGTATCCAATTTTTTAAATAAACGAATCCCAATTTATTTACCTCGTAAAAAGAAACATATTCTACTATATATAGATAGTCGTATCTGCTACCCGGTTACTCAACATGTAGCAAACAAATTTAATAAAAACTGGTGTGAAATTATATTAGGTCTTTCAAGATGAACCGTTTCAGTCTGTGGTGTATGATATTATGCCTCAGAAAATGACAACACAAAGTAGCTCATAAATTAGTGTAAATAATTGTCATATCGAACGACGTTATTTTATTCTAGCAAGATGTATGATCGTTTTCGTATACGTTCATGTCTGAAGACAAGACATATGGATCGCTGTACTGGGATACTGCACTAGTTCACATTTGTATCAGAAGGGATTTTGTAGAGATCTTAGTAATTTCAGTTGTTGAGATCATGAGTCAATTGAAGCTAGACTAGTAGGTTCTGGGTTTGAATCCCGTGAGGCGGGGTCGTGGATTAGCATTGCTGAGGAGTCCCACAATAGGACAAAACGACCGTTTAGCCCTTTCATGATGGCCTAGCTTCAACTGACTCATGATCTCAATTATTGAAACAACTAAAATCTCCACAAAACCCCTCCTGATGCTTATTAATATATGCTCAGTAGTGACTGGTTTCAAGATGTATATCCTGGAGTTCTAGCTAGAAGCAGTGATCAGTGTATTTCAACTAGGTCAGTTGTGAGATAGTAACTCATTGATGACAATGGTGGATGTGTCGCTTAATTTCGTGGATTAATTGAAGTTAGATATTAACACCGCTTGGTGCAGGCTGGCTCAGTGATCTAGTTGGTTAAGCGTCTGGTGCCAGACTGATAGGCGCAGGGTTCGAATCACGCGAGGCGGAGTTGTGGATGCGAACTTCTGAGGGGTCCCATACTAGGACAAAACGACCGTCCAGTACTTCCAGGTTATCCATGGTAGTTCACATTTGTCTGTAAAGTCAGCCTACGATTTCAAATAAATTGGTTTACGCAATGAAAAATTT